AAATTGTCTATGCAGGTCCAGGTCTTCGTATAGGCCCCATATACCAGTACCTCCCTATATTCGGTATTTTGGCGAGTTTAGGTACAATACTCACCGAAGTTGTTTGAAATGTCGTATTTGAAGTTCGTAATGGATGCTACAGAATATGACAAAAAATTGTCTACAGGTTCAGGTTCAGGTCTTCGCACAGCTCCGATATAACGGTACCTCCCCATATTCTATACTTTGATTATTTTAGCTACATTATTCGCGTTTATTTCAAGTTCCGAATTTGAGTTTGGTAATGACTCATGACAAATAATGCCTGTGTGGGTCCACGTCGTATAGGCACCAATATAATGGCAATATTCCGTATCTTTAAAATTTTACCAACATTTTTTCAGGATTTTATTTCCAAATTCGTTCCAAATGATGGAAGGTATTCAAAGTTCGGCCCGGCCGAACTTACTGCTTTTTAAATTGTTGGTACTAAATTTCATCCCGGATTAAGGAATAGAGCAAAACTTCTGATGTGGATGTCACTGTTGGTGTCTGTAGGTGAGAGAAAGAGTTGGTACTTCAATTGTACTAAATTCGGAAATTACAAAGCTGAAAACCTGAAATTTTATATTAAGGTCACTGTTGATATCTGAGGTTGAGATATGGCGGTGGTTTTAGAAATGTGCACTATAATTGTACGAAAAGTGCTATATGTTGTAAAATTGAGTTATTGGATTGGATATGAGGACTATAATTGTTCGAAAAGTACTAAATTTGATATTGGATGCAGGGATAGAGCTAAAATCCTGTCATGGGTGTCATTGTTGGTGTCTGTAGTTGAGAAAAGAAGCCGGTTAAGGAAATGCGTGCTATGAACGTACGAAAAGTGGTAGATGGAAATCGAATTATGAAATTTTGTACCAAGGTCACTTTTGGTGTCTAGATGTGTTATTCGAAAAGTGCTAAATTTGATATTGGATGCAGGGATAGAGCTAAAAATCCTCTCATGGGTTTCATTGTTGGTGTCTGTAGTTAAGAAAAGAAGCCGGTTGTGGAAATGCGTACTATGAATGTTCGAAAATTGGAAGATGGAGATGTAATTCTGAAATTTGGTGTCAAGGTCACTGTTGGTGTCTAGTGTAGAGAAAAGGATCTGGTTTTGGATTTTGTACCAAAAGTATGAGAAAACACGTGGGATTGGGTCTTAGGATTGAGCTGAAAATCTGAACTGTTCGCATATGATTGTAAGAAAAGGAGGTGGGTGGATTTGGGAGTGTATGCTACGATTGTTCGAAAAGTACTAAATGGTACCAACTATGAACGTACGAAAAGTAGAAGATGGAGATGGAATTCTGAAATTTGGTGCCAAGGTCACTGTTGGTGTCTAGGGTGAAGCAAAGGACGTGGTTTTGCGCTTTGTACGAAAAGTATGGCAACAAATTTGGGAATGGATATTAGGATTGATCTGAAAATCTATATCTACTGTTCGTATATAGGTGTAAGAAAATGAGGGGAGTGTATACTATGATTGTACGAAAAGTACTAAATTATACTAAATTTTCCGCTTGAATCCCGACATTGGATATTGAGGTTACTATCGGTGTCTTTGACTATTCCTGAGAGTTATTGTATGCACAGGCAGGCATATTTCGGCACATTTTGGCTGTATTAAAGGATATATGCACTCTGTAGACATATGACGTAGGGCGTAAAAAAAGCTTTCGCTTCTTTCCCCTGAACAACTAATAAGCAACAAAACAAAACACGAACCCCAACAACAACAGTGTAGACGATGTGTGGCGGTTCCCTCTCCATGCAGTGTCTACGGCTTAACTCATTTTACTTTCAATTCAGGGCTGATCCAAATCTCACGGCTGATACCCTAGTCATTGCCTTTGTTATCGAACATCCGCTTACGTTTTCCTTTCGGGCTTCGCAATTTTTCCGATTGACCCCATAACCCCAACAAAAAGTGTGTCTCGTTCCAGAAAACGAAACACACAAAATAAAATAAAAAACAGACCAAAGTATGCAAACTTTAGAGAATTCTTGCCGTTTCCCTTGTTTGCCACTCGTATCCGCAATTATGCCACCATACCTGTGCACATTTCCATTAATACTTTCCCTCCTTCGTGCATACGTTGTTGTTGGTGTTGTTGTTGTTTTTTTTTTCTTCTCTCTTTTTTGCAAGTGCATCTCATTAAAACTTAATCAATTTATCGAACATTGTTTGTTTAGTTTTTGGCCGAGATTACCGAGCGGTGTTTGTTGATTTTTAATGAGCGCCCCATAAATTGCTCGCTGGAATATTTTACAACGGGCCATAAATTATTCCCCCGAAAAGGGTAATTCCTGGGAGCAAAATTGATGCGGAGGGGGATATCATGCTCTTGTAAGGAGAGCTAACGTAGCTTTGCCATCAAATGAAATGGGTTTATGTGGTCAAGTGTCTGGCCACTTGGGAAATTAGAAGTGGTTATTGTTGCAACTGGAAATGTTTTTGCTATTTAATGGTATTCTATTATCAGGGAGGAGTTTTTACATAGCATTTTAATTAACCTAATTAATTTGAATTAAACAATACAGAAATATGGGTTAAATTATTAACTTTTTTTAATTATTTAAATTGGAGTCGCATGAATTTTCCATGTCGAAATCACAGCAATTTTTAGGTTCCTACTGAAGTCACCATGGCGTATGAAGAACGCCGTTACTTATACGCTTCGAATAATAACTCGATTTCAGATGCTTACTAACAGGTGCCCACTACTTCTTCTGCGAAAAGTCCACCTTAAAATTTAGGATTCGTTCCAACAGTTTGTGTTAAGCCTTTTATACCCTCCACCATATTATGGAGGGTATATTAAGTTTGCCATTCCGTTTGTAACACCTCGAAACATACATTTTAGACCCCACAAAGTATATTTTTGAAAATTCTTTGTCGTTTTAGCGATGTCCGTCCGTACACTAGCTTCCGAACTAAACGATGTCGGTTGATAAAATTTAACTCAAAAGTATATTATGCCTGCAGGACTTTTGATATTGATAATGGGCCACGATATTCGGTATTTTGATGATTTTAGCGACATTATTCACTGGATAGAACCTATGATAGAAAATTGTCTGTGCAGGTCCACGTCTTCGTATAGCCCCCATATAACAGTACCTCCCGATATTCGGTATTTTAGCGATATTATTCACCGGAATTGTTTCAAATTTGGTATTTAAAGTTCGGAATAGCCTATGGCAGAAAGTTGTCTGTGCAGGTCCACATACTAGTATAGCACCCATATAATGATACCTCCCAATATTCGGTATTTTGATGATTTTAGCGGCATTATCCACCGGAATTGTTTCAAATTTAGTATTTGAAGTTCGTAATGGATACTACAACCTAAGACAGAAAATTGTCTGTGCCGGTTCACGTCTTCATATAGCACCCACATAAAAGTACCTCCGATATTCGGTATTTTGATGATTTTAGCGACATTATTTACCGGAATTGTTTCAAATTTGTTATTTGAAGTTCGTAATGGATACTACAACCTAAGAAAGAAAATTGTCTGTGCAGGTCCACGTCTTCGTATAGCACCCATATAAAAGTACCTCCCTATATTCGGTATTTTGATGATTGATGATAATGACTACATTCCGTATTTTTATACACACCACCTTGGAAAGGAGGGTATATTAACTTTGTCATTCCGTTTGTAACATCCTTAAATATTCGTCTTAGTCCCCATAAAGTATATATATTCAAATCAACATAAAATTCTAAGTCGATTTAACGATGTCCGTCTGTCTTTCTGTCTGTCCGTCTGTCTGTTGAAATCACGATACAGCCCACATTATTTGACGTAGAGCGCCAAAATTTAGCAGAGCTATTTGCATTGTGTCTAGGATGATTGGTATTGAAAATTAGATATATCGGTCCACGTTCTGGTATAGTCCCCATATAACGGTACCTCCCGATATTCGGTATTTTAGTTGTTTTTTGCCACATTTTTTCACGGATTTGTCTTGAAATTGGTATTTGTAGGTCATAATGGGTCCCTGAGCGTGTGGCAAAACATTGTATGTATAGGTCCACGTTGTGGTATAGCCCCCATATAAAGGTACCTCCCGATATTCGGTATTTTAGTTGTTTTTTGCCACATTTTTTCACGGATTTGTCTGAAAATTGGTATTTGTTGGTCATAATGGGTTCCAGCTCCGGTGGCGAAACATTGTATGTATGGGACCATGATTTGGTATAGCCCCCATATAACTGTACCTCCCGATATTCGGTATTTTTGCCACATTTTTTTCACGGATTTGACTAAAAATTGGTATTTGTGGGTCATAATGGTTTCCAGCTCCGGTGGCGAAACATTGCATGTATGGGTCCATGATTTGGTATAGCCCCCATATAACGGTACCTCCCGATATTCGGTAATTTGATGATTTTTGCAACATTTTTTCACGGATTTGTCTAAAAATTGGTATTTGTGGATCATAATGAGTCCTAGTTCGTGTGGCGAAACATTGTAATTATAGGTCTACGTTTTGGTATAGCCCCCATATAACGGTACCTCCCGATATTCCGTATTTTGATGGTTTTTGCCACATTTTTTCACTGATTTGTCTAAAAATTGGTATTTGTGGGTCATAATGGGTCCTAGTTCGTGTGGCGAAACATTTCTTCTAATGTTTCTTTTACCCTAAGGTGGAGGGTATTAACAGTTTGGCCCGGCCGAACTTAATGTTTTTTACGTGTTAAGATTTAAACAGATTTTTAACGAATTTTTTCTTTTTTTTTTTTTGGAAATTTTGCCAAATTCGTTCGAAATGGTGGAGGGTATTCAAATTTCGGCCCGGCCAAAATTACAGCTTTTTAACTTGTTTATGATGCATACATTTATATGAGCCTAAAAGTCCTCCTCCTACCTGAATATATTGAAACATTAAATCTTATCTTAAAATCAAACAGCACTCTTCACTCTTATTAATTCCCCTTCCTTTTCTATCTCTTTTTCTTATAGAAAGTCAACAAAAACTTGTGATTGTCGTTTTTAAGAAACTTTAACAGATCCTTGGATAAAACCCACAGACGATGCTACACCGAAAGAGTTGAAGGAAAAAATCGAAGGCATCCAAAAAACAGCAGCGTTAAAAAATATTTAATTTTCCAGCAAAGCAAACAACCAGCTGCGACAACATCATCTAGCATATTTGCCCACAAACACGAAGATACTTTCATATGACAGGATGTTTCATATCCCAAGGGAATCCTTCATAGAAATGTGAGGAAAAAACAAAACCGTGTGACAGAAATCCTGAACACTATTTGATTCCATTTCCACGGCGCAGCAAAACCATCAAAGACGAACATCTATGTGCAATGTCAAATGGTAAACATTAGATTTGTTGCGATTATTTGCTGACTGACTGACTGTAGCAAATAGAGGTCGTACTTAAGCCAAAGGGAAACGAGGCTGGAACAAGTAGTTGAACCACAGCTGGCTAAGTGAAAACAAGTGACCCTCAGAGAGTGAGAGCAAAAAATCATCTGGCACTAGAAGTCCTCTCACTCTCTCCCCCCGCGTTACAAGCCACCCAAAAGGTTTGCCACAATAAAATTCAGCTCTCCAACATCTGTACATATGAATCTGTACGGTTCATACATGTCTTGCCATTAGATGTCATTATGTCGTTATATAATGTTAAGTACAAACGTAAACAGTTTTGACTGAAGTACTCTTCAGTGTTCGTTGTTTTTTTTTTTTCTTTCTGGGCCCCAACTACAACGACAACTGCAAACCTGGTTAGTAATCTGAACGGTCTGGTTGTGTTGAAAATTGTTGTGTATGTGTGTGTGTATAGACACAGTGTCGATATGTCTGTATGAATGTGTAGCCAACAACATATCCTTGCAATGAACCAACCTTTAACCATGCTCTACAACAACAGCAGTAACAACAACAATGTGTGTTTGTATGCTCACATATGAATCGAGACAGAGAGCTTGGCAGAGATCAAAAATCAGACATTATATACCACACCAAAGCATTTAACCATAGGACTTGGCAGATACGCACGCCTCATCCTCCCCCCAATTGTTCATAACCATCTGAAATGGTAACGACGACGACAACTATAGTTGCGGATGACTGAATGTTTATTTAGTTACCGGTTCAGTTGGATTGTTTGGTTTGACGACATCATAAAAACGACAATGAGGACGATCTGCATCATCATCATCATCATCAACATGACAATTATAATGGCATCAGCAGCAGCAACAACAAAAAAAACGATGATGACGATGATGGTGGTGCCCTCTGTGACAATGGCACAGAGCAGTTGAAAAAGTGAAAACCCAACAACAGCAACAACATCAAGCACAATAATACTTGTCCATTGTGCCAGCATCACAACCCACAACCCACAACATCAACAATAAACTCAGCATCTTTTTAGCAGAACTCAACATTCTCACTCCGTCACTCTCTCCATCTCTCTTCGGCCAACGATTGTCCATAATTCTTCACAGTTGCCTGGCAATTCTCGATTCTTTGAAGCGTAATGGGTGATTTACAAGCAACAATTGAATTTTCTGTGGAATTATATAAATTCTTCAATGTGGATTTATTTCAAAGGGGGTAAGATTCCATATTTTTCCATTTTTTTTTGCATTCATTTCAGTTCCCATTTCCCTTCCATTTCTTTACTCACCTCCTTTCTTCTAAGCAATCCTTTTAACCACACTAGCTCTAAGCCAAGAGATATCTAACCCTGCCAACTTTGGATAGAATTACCAATTTTGTTGACCATTCGTCTCTCTCTCTCTGTCTGTCGGTTGGTATGTCTGACCGTTTGTTGTATGTTTGCCAACACCAACAACACCAGTGCACCAGTGAACTATGTGACAGATGACCATGGGATTTACGAGATTTTCGAAATAAATTTTATGGCACTTATTTGCCCTTTTTATACCCTCCGCCATACTATGGAGGGTATATTAATTTTGTCATTCCGTTTGTAACTCCTCGAAATACTCATGTCAGACCCAAGAAAGTATATATATTCTTGATTAGCTTAAAATTCTAAGACGATTTATCAATGTCCGTCCGTCTGTCCGTCTGTGGAAATCACTCTAGCTTCCGAACGAAATGAAGTAGGTTGATAAAATTTTACTCAAATGTGTACTATGTCTGCAGGACTTTTGGTATTAAAAATGGGCCATATAGGTCCACGTCTACGGATAGCTCCCATATAACTGTACCTCCCGATATTCGGTATTTTGATGATTTTAGCCACATTATTTACCGGAATTGCTTCAATTTTGGTATTTGAAGTTCGTAGTGGATACTACATCCTAAGACAGAAAATAAGCTATGTAGGTCTACGTCTTCGTATAGCCACCATATAACGATACCCCCCAATATTCAGTATTTTGATGATTTTAGCGACATTATTTACCGGAACTATTTCAAATTTAGTATTTGAAGTTCGTAATGGATGCTACAGCCTATCACAGAAAATTGTCTGTGCAGGACCACGCCTTCGTATAGCCCCCATATAACGGTACCCCCGATCTTCGGTATTTTCATGATTTTAGCGAACCTATTTACCAGAATTGTTTCAAATTTCGCATTTGAAGTTCGTAATGAATACTACAGCCTATGACAGAAAATTGTCTGTGCAGGTCCACATCTTCGTATAGCCCCCATATAACGGTACACCCCGATATTTTGATGATTTTAGCGACATTATTCACCGAAATTGTTTAAAATTTGGCATTTGAAGTTCGTAATGGATACTGCAGCATAAAACAGAAAATGGACCATGTAGGTCCTCGTCTTCGTATAGCCCCCATATACCGTAGCCCCCCGAAATTCGGTATTTTGATGATTAGAGCGACATTATTTACGGAGATTGTTTAAAATTTCGCATGTGAAGTTCGTAATGGATAGTTCAGCCCATGCCAGAAAATTGTCTGTGCAGGTCCATGTCTTCGTATAGCCCCCACAGAACAGTACCCCCTATATTCGGCATTTTGATGATTTTTGCTACATCATAAATAGATTTTTCTTCAAGTTTCGCATGTAAATATTGTAATAACTTATGACAAAAGTTGCATATGAAGGTCCACGTCGTCGTATAGGCATTCGGTATTTTTAAGATTTTAACAGAATTGTTCACGGATTTTATTTTATTTATTTATTTTATTTTTTATTTTTTTTTTTTTTTGGAAATCGCCAAATTTTTACCAAGTGGTGGAGGGTATTAAAATTTCGGTGTGGCCGAACTTACAGCTCTTTTACTTGTTATGAATGAAATAAATTTTGTGCTTCAAATTATGCTCAATATTTTATATCTTACACCACATAGTGGTAAGGGTATTATGTCTTAGTGAATTTATTTGTAACATGGGGAAGGAAGCGAGATAGACCCCTAGTTAATTTTGAGGATCCTGGTAGAATCACTTTCTGAGTCGATTTGTACATGTCAATCAGTCTGTCCATGTATTTTTATGAACAAAATGAAGGTCGCATTTATTGTGCGATTTAGATGGAATTTTCCAAACAATATTTGTTTGGCCCAAGGTCGGTTCAGATATAGCTATAGCTCCCATATATATGTTTTATCCAATTGGATATTCTGCCCTCCACAACAATGATCTTTGGTACTCGATATCAGATACAGCCCAGAAGTACCTCTGTAAAGGAAGGGTAATTGCTGCTGTAAAGATGCAATGGCATGGCAGGGCTTGTTTTTAATGAAATTTCTAAAGAGGATGTTAATAGAAGTAGACTCGATGGAATAAAAATTCATTTTGAAAGTTCATTTAGCAAAGCACTTTCTCTATCTTCTCTGCCATAGCTTTTGCGATGATTTTGTAGCGAAAGTTGTGGACTATGGGGGCGGGCTTAATGCAAATGATTGATGTTAATTTAAGTGGTTAGCAACAGGTTGAGAGATTTTGCTATGGATTAGATAAAATGTACTACACATAATTAGTGTCATCTGGATTGGGAATTTTTAAACCACTTCTCAAGGTCTTCTATTACAGAGACCACATTTTCAAGGTTCTCTGTAGAAAGAAAGCTTCCTCATGATCGTCTACAGAGAGAAGATTTTTTCTTAAGGTATTCAAGTGAGAGAAGAGAGAGAAGGTCCTACAGAGACTGAAGCCTTTCTCGAGGTCTTCTATGGAAACAAACCCTTCTAAAGGATATCTATAGACAGAAGACCTTCTCAAGGTTTTTAGAAGCTCTCTATAAAAAAAAAATTTCAAGGTCTTCTACTAAATGGGATATTTGGATATAGCTCCCATATACAGGGTGAGATAAAAAAAACTGCAACAAAGTTAAACGCCATATTACAATTTTTTTTTTTTTTTTTGTAAATTTTATTGAATGAAGGCAAAAAATGTCGGAAATAGCATCAAATCTTCGAATAAGTTTAGATTTGTTCGAATTGGTCACCTTTGGCACTATTAACGGGATTCAAACGGCCAATGAAACCGACATACGCAGCACGAATGTTGCTCTGCGGTATTTTGACCCATTCCCGGCAAAGCGCTTGCTTCAGGTGATCGACACTTTGTCATTTTTTAGTGCCAACCCTGCTTTCCAAAATACTCCAGACACAATAGTCCAACGGTATGTGGAGACTTTGGTGACCATTGTGCGCTGAAAATGAAGCGATGAACCTCATTTTGTAACCATTCTTGGGTGGTGCCTGCTGAGTGCGATGGTGTTGAGTCCTGTTGGAATGTCCTAGGTCTGCGGCCAAAATGTTTGGGTGCCCAAGGCTTTAATACCCCCTCCTGAATATTTTCGCGATAACATTCGGCATTTATTCCGAGGCCACGGTCGATTAATACGAGTAGAGAGCGACCATCGGCTGTTATGGCGGACCACACCGACACAAGAGTCTTTCATTCAAAGAAGCTAGCCTTCAGTAGAGAAAAGCAAATTTTAAAAATTTTTAAATTAACCTTTAGGAAGTTCCATAAAATTTATCTTTTATTAGATATATATGAACACCCAATTGAACATCCATGGAATAAAAAACCATCGAAATTGCCTTCTTTGGAGAGAAGGCCATACAAAGGTCTTCTATGGAAAGAAGATTGCCCAAATGATCTTCTATGGTGATAAGACCTTTCAGTCATCGAAATGTCATTATTTGGAGGAGAAGGCAATAAACTTGTATTTTATGGAGAGACGACAATCCAACTATTTTCTAAGAAGAGAAGACAATCCAACTGGAATTTGTTTTAGAAGGGAGAACACTACAAAATCGTCTTCCATAGAGTAAATATAATGGGAGGAGAAAATTTCATGAAAATACTTTTTTTGAGAGAAGCTACATCCCCATGGAAGAAAATACCACACAAGGGTCTTTCATGCAAAGAAGCTCGTCTTCGGTGGAGTATAGACAATTTAAAATTCAAATGAACCTCCACGAAGAGAATTCTATAAAAATAATCTTTTTTCGGTGACAAGACCACGCAATTGGGCTTCCATGGAAGAAAAATAATAAAAATTGTCTTCTTTGGAGTGAAGACAATACAAAGAACTTCTATGGAAAGAAGATCGCCCAACTGGTCTTCAGTGGTGAAAAAACCTTTCAGTCATCGAAATGTCACTATTTGGGGGGGATGACCATAAACTTGTCTTTTTGAAGGGAAGACCATCCAACTATTTCCTAAGGATAGAAGACAATCCAACTGGTATTTGTTGGAGAAGAGAGAATTCTAGAGAAGTCGTCTTCCATAGAGTAAATATAATGGGAGGAGAAAATTTCATAAAAATGCTCTTTTTTGAGAGAAGCTACATCCCCATGGAAGAAAATACCACACAAGGATCTTTCATGCGTCTTCGGTGGAGAATAGACAATTTAAAATTCAAATGAACCTCCACGAAGAGAATTCCATAAAAATAATGTTTTTTCAGAGATAGAACCACGCAATTGGGCTTCCATGGAAGAAAAATAATCAAAATCGTCTTCTTTGGAGAGAAGACCATACGAAGGTCGTCTATGGAACGAAGATTGCCCAAATGGTCTTCTGTGGTGGTAAGACCTTTTATCATCGAAATGTCATTATTTGGGGGGGAGGACCATAAACTTGTCTTTTTGAAGGGAAGACCATCCAACTATTTCCTAAGGATAGAAGACAATCCAACTGGTATTTGTTGGAGAAGAGAGAATTCTAGAGAAGTCGTCTTCCATAGAGTAAATATAATGGGAGGAGAAAATTTCATAAAAATGCTCTTTTTTGAGAAAAGCTTCATCCCCATGGTCTTATGTGGAAAATACCACACAAGGATCTTTCATGCAAAGAAGCTCCTATTCGGTGAAGAAAATATAAATATATACAATTTTTTGAACCACCACAAAGAGAATTCCATAAAAATAATCTTTTTCGGAGATAAGACCACACAATAGAGCTTCCATGGAAAAACCATCCAAATTGTCTCCTTTTGGAGTGAAGACAATACAAAGAACTTCTATGGAAAGAAGATCGCCCAACTGGTCTTCAGTGGTGAAAAAACCTTTCAGTCATCGAAATGTCACTCTTTGGCAGAGAAGACCATAAACTTGTCTTTTTTTTGAAGGGAAGACCATCCAACTCTTTTCTAAGGAGAGA